TGTGTGAGAGGAATAATAGGGCTTGCAATCCAGTAATATCTGGAAAGACACATGTTGCCCATTCCAGACGTAAAGAGTTTTCTAGAAACATAAGGGCTACAAGTATGAACCTATAGTGTGCAGTCTGTGGTGATTCTGTTGCAAGGGAGGGATGCTATTACTCTGTGCCAAAAAAATTCAGTTAGATTGTTTTTAACCTTTCTACCTTCTAATTGCAAATTAATAGATCTTTGCAAAGGCTAGGTTAATTCTCCAGAATTCTGTTCTCCAAGGAGAACAGAATTCTGGAGAATTAACCAAGCCTTCTAAAGCTTTTGTAAAGTTCCCATTGTTTGGGAAGAAAAATAAGCTTTGTTGTGCTCAGGGAAGGCCCAAGACACTTTGAGGCCAAACAGCAAATGCCAAGACTGGACTTTAGGTCCAAAGACCATGTTCAACACCCAAGGGGAGGGAGAGGAAACAGGTGAGAACATAGTGAGTGGCACCTGAAAGGGGTACCAACATGCAGTCCTAGTGTTCCAGCATGCAGCCTCATGATGCAGTGGTTAGATTTCAGTACTGCAGTCCTGGGCTTAGGTACCTATCTCGAGGTAGACTCAACCTTTCCTCCTTCCAAAGTTGGTAAGTTGAGTACCCAAGGGGTGGGATGGGGTGGAAAGGCAATGTGTAGCCTGCATAATGAAACTGTAAACTACCCAGAGAGAGCTTTTAACACTATGGGGTGTTATATAAGCAGCACACTTTGCTTTGGTACCAGCAACTGGGCCAATGTGTGAGGTCCCACAGGGAATTTGCTCTGCTCATGATTGCATCCTTTCTTGTTTTCTATTTTTAAAAGCGTTTTACAATCAAGTGGAAGCCAGACAAGTCTATATCTCAATACAGTTGCTAATTGCACTTATCCATTGACCTTATTTTAGAATCAATTTTTCTACAACAAAATGGTGCTTATTCGCAAGTAAATGTTTTTAGCATCAGGGCAGCAAAAGCAAGCTCTGTTTAATGCATGCAGTCATGAATTACTTGTGCCCAGGAAACAATCAGTCTCTTTGTTTGGGGGCCATGTTTAACTGTATAAAGGGACATGGTGGCGCTGTGGGTTAAACTGCAGAAGCCTCTGTGCTGCAGGGTCAGAAGACCAGCCGTCGTAAGATCGAATCCACGTGACGGAGTGAGCGCCTGTTGCTTGTCCCAGCTCCTGCCAATCTAGCAGTTCAAAAGCATGCAAATGCAAGTAGATAAATAGGTACCACCTTAGTGTGAAGATAAATGGCATTCCGTGTCTAGTCGTGCTGGCCATGTGACCACGAACAAACTGTCTACGGACAAACCCTGGCTCTATGGCTTGGAAACGGGGATGAGCACCGTGCCCTAGAGCCGGACACGACTGGACTAAATGTCAAGGGGAACCTTTACCTTACCTTAACTGTATAAATATTTGCCATACAGTCCCATTCTCATATCTGAAGAAGTAGACTTGTCCACAAAAGCTCACAATAAAATATAGCAGTTAGTCTTTAAGGTGCCACAACATTTTGTCTTCTTTATTTTTGTCTTCTTCTTGCCTGATAGCACAGGTTAACACAGCTAACTCTTCTAAAACTGCAGTTATGAAGGTGCTCTTATTTATGTGAATTACAAAAGACAATTATGCATGCACAGAATTCCTCTCTCTTTTGAATTACCAAAGCCTTAGGGTGGTTTGTTTATATTTGAGTTTGGGGGTGGGGGTGGGGTGAGGAGTTGTGTTTGTAAAGATATCAGGAATGTTGAAATTGTAGATCATGGGGGTGATGAGAAGAGAAATAGGAAACAATTCAGTTGTTGGCTTCATAACTGAAGAATTAAATATGACCTCCTAGAGCTCCTTACCATCACCATCCTGCTCCATCCATCATCATGTCTAGGGTCTGAAATTATCTAGCTGCATCGTGGAGCAAATGGCTCTTCCCTGCTTCCTTGTCTAGGCATAGCGTGCCCAAGGCTAGCACTTGAGCATTGTCATAATTAGGGAAAGGCAGTTGAGGCTCTGACTCAGGCTGCCAAAATTTGGAGGGCCAACATTTTGCTTTCTGGAAGCCTCCCATTGGCATTTGCTGCTGGAAGATCATGAATAGGGCAGTAAAGCCCAGCACCAACATTGCGAGTTATGGCCCTGCATATGATACAGGAAATCCGAAGCAGAACAATAATGTTGGCATTGCTACATTTCTCCTTCCAGGATGCCTGAGGCATTTTCTGCCATGTGGCAAAAGCACCTGGCTGATTCTGCATACTCCTTGCATACATCCTTAGGTGGGACAGGGGCATCGATTGCTTCTCTACCTTAGGCATCAAGATGCCTTGAGATGGTCCTGAAAACAAGAAAAGAAAGCAGCAAAATAAGGTTAGAAAATATTGGTGCCTTTTTCCCCAGTCCTCAAGCACAGCCAGCCCTGGGTAGGTCATGTAACCTCCTAGGCGGCATAGCAAGTAGAGATTTGGTTGGCAGCTCAGGACACCTGGGTTCAAATTCTCATTCTCCCACGAAACTCATCAGGTGACCTTGGGCCAATTACAGTCTCTCCACCTGACCTGCCTTCCATGACTGTCGTGACAGTCAAGTGGGAACTGGCAAACCATGGACAGCATGTGCACTGAAGGAAAGATGGGATATACTTATAATTGTTTAGTAAGAGTAGCAGTAATACAGGTAACTTACTACTCTTAGTGCTGTGCTAGACAATGTTGATCACCAGGGATGGGTTATTGACCAGGCTGAAGGGATGCCTCACCCCCAAATTTTGCAGGCCAGCCGTGCCCTAAGGTTTCAGACAGGGTGCAGTTACTGCTTTTGTTTCTCTCTTTCTATTGTTAATCGAGCCCCCCCCACAATTCCCAGACAGGCCAGAAGGGGGTGGTGTCGCCACAACCTGGTGATTTCTCTCTCTGACCATCTACGTTCACCTCAGGGGTGGAAATGGTGATGGGATGCTTTGCAGATATCTGGGCTTTTATTGCAGCTCAGCCACTGGTCTAAAAATATCATCAGTGATTCTCAGGGCCTCCTTGGCAGCTCAGTCTGCAGTCGGAAACCGACTGAGACGAACAGACTGTGTGTGTTTGGAGGCGTTCATATGCCTGGTATACAAAGCTAGGCAAGCTGTTCGGCTGTAAATGCCACGTGTCAGAGTCAGAGTCGCTGGAATTCATTCTGTTATCCAGGGCTTATTCCTTCTCCTATTAAATTATTTAATGCAGGTCTGTGGAACCTGTAGATGCCCAGATGTTGATAAACTCCAGTTCCCATCATCCCTAGTCAGCCTGGCCAAATGAACAGCATGATGGGAGTCACAGTTCATCAACAACTACAAAGATGTAGCCCTTAATCCCTAATCTAATTGTTGTTACATGCCAAGTCAGAGCGACTCTAACAGGGCATCAAAAGGTAAGAGAGAGATTTAAGGAATGGTTTTACCAGTTCCACATCCTGATGAGTGTCCATGGCTAAGGACTTGAACCCAAGCCTCATGAGCCCTGTTACTCTAACCACTACACTATACTGGGTAGCTAATCTGATTGTACACCTCTATATTTCCATTCCACTTTTGCCTCTCTGAGACTTGAAGCCCTGGATTCAAATCTCCACTCACATGTAAAACTGGTGTTAAAATACTCACTTTTCCTTAGTTTTTCTCATAGGATTGTTCGTATAATGAAACTGAACAGTCACATAAATACAAGTGTATAGTATTTTGTTCACCATTTGTCCATCACGCATCTCTGTGCCTGTTGCTCTGTGGGTGTCGCTATTATCTGTCATATCTTCTCTCTCTTCACCTAATTTTTCATATTATTTCTGTCTCTTTTCCTATTTATCACAATGCTACTTATATCTGCGCACTTAAAATGTGTTCAGATTGCTTTGTGGATGTCTTAGTGATCTCTACAACAATCCTAGCAAGTGGGGCAGCATCATTGCCCATCATATCAGGAGAGTGAGGCCAAGAGTTTAGACACAGGTGTAAAGCACCTGCCAAATTAATTACCAAGGCCAGTTAAAATTCACTTCCTCAGACACTAACTTGTGTCCATCCAGATATATGAGAATCAAGATATTTCAACCTAGTTAAAATTCACTTCCTCAGACACTAGTATCCATCCAGTTATATGAGAATCAAGATATTTCAACCTAACCACGTGTAACCCAAGTTCTCATGCAAAGGGAGTAGTAATTTAATTATTTAATTTCTTTATTAGTGTATTTTCACAGCCAGTGACGGGGAGATGTGCTTGTGGGACAGTTTGTCTTCTGTGCCAAAATAACTTGGCTGGCTTTGGTGCTGTGCATCCTGACTTTCATATGTGGGGATAGTTTGTTAGCTCAGTAACTCCCCATTCCTTCAGATGTCAGGGTCAATTCATTAGATCAGGGGGCAGAGCTCTGCGGTATTGTACAATGTTGCCGCTTGTGCATTATTGCAAAATACTGTAAAATAATTTGCAAAATAGTGCGGTGCATACAATCATAGTATGAGAGAAGGAGACAGACAATGGGGATTCCCTCCTCATATTTTTGCATGGAGAGCACTGGCACCAGCTTGAAGTGGAGAGGAAACAGGTGCTGCCTTTTACAGCTGCCACACGCCCTATCACACAACTTTCTCCTCTGCCCTGTTCGCCTTTAGATTTATCTTCCCGCCTGAAGAACACAGAAGGCCCCGAGACCTGGCAACTCTAGCCGGAGCGTAATTTACCAAACCGCCTCAGGCAGCAAAATGTCTTGGTCGGGACTTTATTAGAACTCGTTCTGTCCATGTTTCATACTGGTCGGATGATGCCTTTTGGTTTTTTTTTAATGCCCTACCACCGCGAGGTCAGAGCCCAGGCGAGAGTGCCTCTGAGCACAGACAGTGTCCTCCCTTTCTCCCCGCCCCTTCCTCTCTCCCCCCCCATCTTTCCACGCCTTTGAGAGGAAGACCGCGAGGGGGGTCTTCCAAGTTAAAGAGGGCGTGGCGGCGGCGGCGGGGGGTGGGTGAGTGGGATCGATCGCGGCGCCTCTCTTTCTCTCCCGGAGGCCGGCTCGCGCTTCTCACGTTTCAACCGGAGGCCACCTCTCCGGTGGTCAAGAGCAGCACCGCTGGCTCGCACGAGGTGCGGCGGCGGCACGAATGCGGAGCCGTCCCCGCCGTCCCAACCAACCTAGCGCCCGAAGGGTTAATGCGCACAGCAGGCGAAGAAAGCGCGCGCACACAGAGACACACAGACACACACACACACACGCGTCTGCCAAGGCACACACCGTACGTTAAGGGTGTGCGGCCAACAGCCACACAACTACACTACAACCGCCTTCTGCTGTGTCTGCGTGCGTGTGTGAACGCGGGAGCCGAGACGCGCGCCCGAGCTGGGCGAGGGAAGGAGGATGACCCGTCGGGGGCTGGACGCCAGGAGGTAAACAAACAATAACCGGGCCGCCGCCGCCGCCCCCCCTTCCCGGCTCCGCAGCCCGTCCGCCCGAGTCCTCCGCGGCTTCCCTCCCTTTTCCGCGCCCCTCTTTCGTCCGCCTGTTCCAGACCCTGGGGGAAAGGTGGCTCTCCAGTGGGCAGAGAGACACCCCCCCGCCTCCCCACTTGGAAATGGGGTCGAAGAAACCCGCGTTGACCCACTGGAGATGGGGTCGCCGTTGGGAGGGAAGACCTTGAGCCCCCCCCCAGTCCCCTCCCCAAACCCACCCCGCATCCATGCAAACACGCATCGCTTTCCATCTCCTCCGCCGCCTCTTCCCAGCCAAGATCCGGCTGGTCTACCCGGCTCGAACAAAAAGACAAAAAAAAACCCTCCTCAACCCAACTCGGATATTATTAAGAGGGGAATTCAACACCGTTTGGGGAGGAAAACAAAATATATGGTAAGATAATCCGAGAGTGGAAATTGGGGAGGGGGCCAGGTTTGGTGCCTCTTCGGCGCCGAGCGTGTGTGTGTGTATTGTGCTGCTCCATTCACCCATTTTAAAAGTTTGTGGGGTGGGGGGGGAAAATCGGGTGGGTAGTAGCGGGGAAACCATTCACCTTATTGATTATAGGGCGAATTATTGGGGGGGGGAGGCCTGGAGGGAAAGGAGAGCGAGCTTTGGAGCTGGGCCAGGCAGACATCCGTGGGTTGGGGGCTGGGAAGAGGGGGAGGAGACGAAAACTACACACAAAGAGGGCAGGATTGGGGTGGGAAGCCTTTGCTCTGCATTGGAATTTGTTGGCTCTGCTCGGAGCTTCGTGGGGGTGGGAACGGTGTCGAAGGGGGAGGGAAATGATTCATAGTCCATCCTGTTTCAGATTCTGAAGGTAGACAACCACACGGCTGTGTGCCTTTTTCTTTTCTTTTCCAAACCTCCCCCCCCCAAACAATAATCTTGCACCTAGGCAGTGTTACTGTGAGCATTGCTCCCATTTTACAGGTGATAAATCATCAGCAAGGAAGGGCAGGATCCTCCTTAGCCCGGCTTGGGTCTGTGGCCATCAGGCTGCACTGAGCGTCACAATGTGGTGGCTACTAGATTTAACCCAGTCCCAGAAGTAAGGACTGTAATAGTGGGGTGACAGGTTTGGGTAGGGGATGCGGGGGCAGAGGACAGCAACTCATGGAATGATTTGAGAAACCTTCCCTGTTTCCTTCTTCTGTGACTGAGTCCTTCAGAGGTGGGTGGGTGGTAATTTCTTATTATAGGGTGGCCCAGCAGGCCTGTCTAGACTGTTTCTCACATTTGGCTGTGCTGGAAAATTGATGATGGTGTGGGCATAATTAAAGAAATGATGTCTGTCTTTCTAAGTATCAGTCTGCAATTCAAGGCAGCGTAGGTGGGGGCACACTGTACATAGAGTATTTCCCCCCTGGAGTCAATAGAGGGCAGAGACCTCCTTCGGTGGACAGATGACATTTGAGTGACTTTGCGTGATCTCTGAATGGATGCTGTTCTCCCATCCTCCCAGAAAGCCTCAGATGCACCTGGCACAAACAGGATTGTTGTTGCTTTTGCAAGGAAAGTAGCTAAACCTTAGTGGCCGATTACAACATAAACCTACCACTGTCCCCTGAAAGACATCCTGTCAATAAACAATAAATCCCCCTGGGAAAGCAGACTTAAATTTCTGGCTTGTTTGGGAGTTTAAGCTACCAACCCCCCTGTGAATTAACCCTGAATCTGAGGTCAGTGGATGCTGACAGCTCCCACCACCCACCAACACCCCCCCCCTTTGTATCACACTGTGAATTAGCCACAGGATCTGATTAAATATTGAATGAGTGAAACAGGGCAGAAATTGGAATTAAAAGGGAACCAGCCCAATTGGGAGCAAAGGGAATCTACAGGCCAAAAAGTGTATGGGTATAGAGGTTGGAGGGAATGACTAAAGGCTATCCTTCCTTCCTATGTTCCTTCTGTTGGAAGTGAGGGGGTGGGTGGTGCAAATAATGCTGAGCAGGATCAAGGTGGAATATACTTTCTGGAAGCTTGAACTTCTGCTTATCTGTTCCCCATCATGAAGGAAGAGCTAGGCACTGGCCTAGCAGAGGGAGACTGGAAACAGCTCTGCGGCAGGCTGACCTAGTTTAATTTACCGGGCTGGTGGTGAATCCCACCCACTCCTTTGCCCCCCTCCTTAACCAATGGAATGTGATTTTTATATACCTGGAAAGCAAACACCGAAGGGATGTTTTGATCTTGTTGTGTAGGAGGGACTCTGGTGGCACTTTAAAAACTAACAACCTTGTCTCTGTAAAATGAGTAACTCATCTGGTGAAACAGGCTGTCATAATACATATTTTAGTTTTTCATGCATCACAAGACTCTCAGTCTGTTGCACTAAAAACAACAAACACATATACACTGATTTTCTCATGTGAAGAGAAAGCAAATATGACCTAATCAGAACTACTATAAACCACCCAAAGAGTGTTTGGTACTAATGGGGCAATGCAGAAGTTGAGTTAATAAATACAGTAACCAGAACCAGTGGCCACTTTGGGCTAGTACTTTAAGGAAGAGTATCAGCCCAAAGGGGAAGGAAGCCAGGCTGCCTAGATTATTTCCAGTAAGGGTATACCACTGTTTTCTTTTTGAGGCCAGGATCTCTGGCCTCTAATGGTTCCTGGAAAAGATTTAGGATTAGGGATTGTGAAGTGTTCCAGGACAATTTGCTTGCTTGCTTTTGCCACTACATATCCTCCTTAGCTGGAGTTTTCTGTTCTTCCTGGTAATGCAGGAAAGAAAAGAGAGGCATTGGGAAATTACCTAATAACTATGTGGTGGTGTTTCATTTAGGAGGAAAGGGTTGTGCGTGTGGTGTGGGGGTCAAGACTGAAGACCATTGCAAGACAACCTAGCCTGCAGCGCCTCAGAAGGACTAGTTGGAAGTTTATGGATAGGGAAAGAGGAATGTTCATACCAAGAAGGCAGCTGCAGGCGAAACAAGGCTGGCCCTGCCATGAGGCAGAGTGGGGGACAGCAGTGGCACTGTTTTGGTTCTTCCATCAAAATCCCCCACGGTTTCCTTCAGTCGCAGCATGATATACTCGTCCTTGGCTCCATAAATTATCCTACTACCTCTAATGTGATGGAGGCTCTTTTCCCACTAGTTGTGTTCAAGGAGTACCAGCCCAGTCAGCTGCTTCCGTAAGTGGGCAAGTCAGAGAGAAAGTTATCTTGTGATTCACCACAGACAGCAAAAAGTCTTAAGTCATCACTGGGAGGGGAAGTGAGTTGGAAAGATTACACGGTCTGACAGGGTGGTCGGTCAGTCTCTGTCCCATACAAACTGGAAGTGTGCATGTCACAAGAGGCCAAAGGTTTGACAGGCTTTGTTTTTCGAAGTGTGTTTTAGGCCTTCCTTATCCTTAGTGCTTCCCACATCCTATTTTTCTTGTGAGCTGGAAGTCAAAGTCCGTGTTCTTTCACTCTCCCTTCACCTTCTAAAGGTCTCCTTGGTTAGAACAGAGCAGGGCTGGGAGGGATGAATCTTGGGCTCCATCTCTCTCATGCTTGGGAAGGGAGAAAGACCCCTTGCGATGGATTAGAACTGGAGACCAAGAGTCTGGACTTCTGCTCCTCTGCCTTGCATGTGTGGAGAGTACATGAATGGATTTAAAGAGTTAATCCTTCCAGACACATCAGCTATGAGCTTTTGAGGGGCTCCCTCAACTCTTTGAGGAAAAGGGGAAGGGAATTAACAGGGAAGAAGCAAAGAGAATGATTATTACAGAGTCATTCCCTGGTTTCTCTTTTATAAGCCGATTTAAAGTCAGGTGACGGCTTCTCCAGCAAACTTTCTAATCCCAACTTCAATGGGAGACGAATGAGTGGGAGGAAGACGAGTGGGAACCTAAGAAACCACTTAACTGTCTAATCCCCATTTCCCTCTCGGTGACAGTATAAAAATCCTATCTCCAGAATCCTATCCCTCTCTCCAAATATCCCTCCAGACCTAAGGAGAGGAGGGAAATGTTTTCTAAAGAAACTTTGCCATCTTCCTTCTGCTAGAGCTACTGTTCTTTCTCCTGTTTGGTGTGCATGACTAGAAATAATTACATCAGCGCTGAGGGTGCACAAAAGGAGAGGAAGCTCTGATAGGCTTTTTTTCATGTGGTGACACAGAGATGAAGAGGAGGTGTAAAAGACTATTTTCCACCAGGCCCATTCTTGGCCTTTCTTGCTAAGGGTAACGTTTTCTGTCCATCATGGTACAGTATCTTTGTTTCTGCAGGAGAGAGTTTGCTAACAGGCCCATTTTAGCAAATGCAGCCATATACAGCCATAATAAATATATTCTCAAAAGGGCAATCATTTTGTGTTTGAGATCAGTGAGATGGGGCGGGTGAGGGGGGAAGATGTCTTTAATAACAACAGAAATCGATTATGTGGGCAAGCTTGGCTGCCTGCTCTGAGAAGGCTTGGTCTTGATAGCCTTAGGCTATGGCCCCTGGGGCTCAAAGTCTACAACTCAAAAGATCTGGCAACCTTAGCCCAGACACCAGTGGGTTTTTTTAATAGTTCCTCTTTCATTTAAATAGTAACCTCTAGAATCTTCTGGAACTCTTTAGACCGGCTCCTAAGCTAAGCATGAGAGTTAGTGACTCTTGTCATAGAAAAAGGAGGGGAATCCTTAGCCTCCCCCCCCAAATGTCAGTGAACCACTCCACTGTTCCTGTTCAAGGCCACCTGTGATTCTAAGGAAGCTAGGGACACCTTCTCTTACAGTGATGGGCAGGATTGTAGTCAGGAATGATGGGGGTTGTAGTCCAAAAACAACTGGAGAGCACCAGAGTAGGGACGGCTGTGTGGTACAGCTGAACATAATTATCAGAATCTTGTCAGTCAGTAAAATATGACATTTGTTTCATCACCACCATATATTTGCAGCCCCTAGATCTAAAGGGAATATATCTCTGACCACTAGATTCTG